AAAAAAAGCTCGATTCCTCATTTGCAAGACGTCTTTCAACCTTAAATCTTTTTCTTGTGCCCGATTTGCATGTTAGCCTAACATTATTATATCAGTCATCAATTTGCATTCTGCAAGTGCAAATGCTTCACAAATATCGTGGTCTTAGCTAAGTTCATGCACTTTTCTTTGAGGGAACTACCATAAGACACCTTTTCCTTGCACTTGAACGCTAGCACGTATAAAGATGTACAGCATGATTTTAGACCATTTTTAGAGGGGGGAAAACTTAGCTGTTTTTTGCCTTGATTGAACCCACCATCAAAAGTATTCTTTGCTGGAAGTCGGAAGGTGTTGGAATGGCACGCTCATTATTCCAATCAGTCGGATCAGCTGATGGCATGTAGAGCTAAACTGTTAACTTCGATCCATGAAAAATTATAAGTTTGAGATTCTCACCTTTGTGCCAAGATGAGTAACTATGAGCTTAGCGGCAACTTTTTGCCATTCCAATGAGCAATGAATAGAAAGACGAAGAATGAGTGGAAACCTATATCGAATTTATAGTTGAGCAAAAAAGGTTATCGTATGGGTTGCTTACTTACCTTGACCGTTCAAAAGCATACTGTCGAATTGTTTTTAGAGCTTCAGTTAGAGGGACTTTGCTCAGAGCAAGAAGACCATTTTGAACCATAGGCTCGGTTTCTCCTTTGCTATCCACAGGATCCCAGAGATCGACTAAATACGTGGTAAGATAAAATCACACTTTCACCAAAAATCTCAGCAAATTCAATCCCCTGACTTTACAGTCTCCATAGAAGTTTTCAAGAGCTCAGTTCTTTCAATATTTCCGAGAATAAGTTAAACTTACGCTCTATCATCCGACAGCTTTTCTTCAAAACACTTGCTAATCCATCGCAACTAGCCTGACCTTGCTGATCTTCTATAAGATAGGTCTTGTGAGATGAAGCGATGAAGTACTTGGAAAATGGCTAAAATATACTTTCTAAGCTTTCCATAGGTTTTTCTTTCAAAAATTTTACCTGTTTCATATCCATCCATACTCTCGTATGAGAAGGATCAAAGATTGAGCAATCCTTGGACAATAGGAATGAGGTGAATCCTAAAAGTTCATTGTTTGATTTCTCAGAACGTTGTTTATTCGCAAATTCATCTTCCTTCTTAAGTCATAATTCATCTTTTCTCTTTTCTATTCCCTTTTTACAATATTCTAGATGAATAGCTTACCATCAATCGTCATAAAATTGTTCTCCTTAGCCTCTGGAGCCGGTTCATACTGCTCCACAACGTTCTCACAAAACTCCGTTGTTACCCCGACCATCTAAAATATTTCCTTTTTAGGCAACAGGATTTATGAAAAAATACTTTTGACCTACCCCTTGTTCAGTCTCAAGAAAAAGTCGAAGATCTTGACAACTCAAGTAGTCTTTATTTGCGTATCGTACCATGAGGAAATAAATTTCCGGTCTAGTTGCGATTTCCTTGAAAGGAGATGGGAATGACAATGGAATCGAGTGAAATCAAGCAAAAAAACCAAAAATACCTTGTACAACTCAACAAAATCAGCTTTGGAGATTTTTCCTCGTTCTGCGGCATCTAAGGAGTAGACAGCTTCCTGGAAGGAAGAGAAAAATGAATTTGAAAATTTT